GCTTAGCTCGACGCCGCTCGGCTTTCTGTGCGAACGTACCCTATCGAATATAAAAATGGAAAACGTCGATGCGAATTTCTTGGTATTTCTAGCTTTTTCCCAAGTTTAGAATGAAATTAAGAAAGTTGAGCTATATTTTTTATAAACAATAAAAAATTGGTATGGGAAATATAAATAAATAAAATCGTCAAAACGTCAGTGTATGCATATTTTTGACGCTGACTGTAAATTATAAGTTATATTAGTTTTGTATTAAATGTTTTAAATAGTTTGTTTTAATTTAAATAGATTGTTTAACCTAGATTATTTTTCATAATCACATAATTTTTTAATTGAAAAAAATTTTAAGAGTTTCAGTTCTTTCTTAATTTATTTTCTTAAAAAAAACTGCAGTTTTTAAATGAAGGATAAACACAGAATAAGTACAGAGTTTAATATTGAAAAGCGGTTAATAGTTTATTTTTTTCTATTTCCAATTATTTTTTTTTTCAATACGCATAAATTTTGTAATAAACGTTATGGTTACTAAAAATTAAATTAAAACGATTTAATACATTTTTTCAATATTTTTAAATTTTAATTATTGTTTTATAAACACTTTTTGCGATCATTTTAAAATTTTTAGAAAACAATTAAAATTAGGCTTAGCTTGAAATTGATATCGCTAAATTGTTTTTGTATTTTTATAATGTTTTTTTAATTTGTATTTTTTTTTTTATAAAAAATTTTGTTTGGCTCTTCTGCAAGATTGACACTCAAATTAATCTTTTCTAAAAATGATTAGCCGTATTTTGTATTTTTATCTAAAATTTTTCATTTTGATAACTAGTGGCAATATTGCCGCAGCGAAAATGTGAAAACCAATAAAACCTAATAAATGTATTTTTCAATTTTTCTCTCTTTCATTGCCGTCGTACTTGCGCAAAACAGCTGATCCAAACAAGCAAGCAGACAAAGGTGGCACCAGCAGCATCAGCAACAAACCAGACAGCAGCCAACTAGTGTTATACCAACGAAGAAGGAAAATAAGTGCTGAAATTGCATATTGGAAGCAGACAACGAAGTGAAAAAGTGAAAAATTCTTTGTGTGGAATTTTTGCTCTTAAACTGCTGCTACAGTAAAGGCGAAAGCAACGCTTAGCAGACGCGGACTTGATATAAAGTCCAAGCCATCTAGCGAAAAAGCGAAAAAGCTAAAGCGTCAACCCGGCAGCGCGTGCAGCCAGCCGGAAGCCAAGCGCCACAGCCGAGCCACAGCTAAATACACATACGCTCAAGCGCTCCACGTAGCGTGCGTATTAACTAGATTTTCAGTTGCGTTGTGCCCCATACAGCAGTAGCGCTGGAATACTTTATTTCACCCCCCGGTCCAATAAACGTCGCCAAAATTATTCACCAACAAACCATCACCGACATCAACTTCGCCACGGCGGCCACCATGCCATATAATGGCGCCAGCAATGGCAGTGGTGGTGGCGGTGGCGGAGGTGGTGGCGGTATAAGCGATGGGCCGCAGAATAAGAAGATACGCACCGGTGTACAGCAGCCGGGCGAAACGGATGCACATCTTCATGCAAGGGTAAGTGATGAAGTACCAACTACCTATAAGTCTATCTAATTGTGTACATATGGGTGTGTAGTGTAATGGAATAAGAAGTTGTAGAAGAAGAAGAAGAATAAGCGAAAGACGAAGTAAAAGTACAAGTTTGAAAAACTTGCAAACTTTTGCGGGCTGCAAAGTTTACAAGAAGTTTGGAAATTTTGTATTCAATTTTTTTTCCTGTGTTGTCTCGTGCGCGTGTTGTTGGTAATTATGGCTATCAAACAGTTGCAGCTACGCTTATGACAATCTTTAATGTTATTGTTGTTGTTGCAGTCGCTTTTGGCAAATGACGTTTGTCAGCCACAACACAAAAAAAAGCTTCTATTTCATTTACCTTTCCTGCATTCCACTCTTCAACCAAACACCGCCGGCATGGAAGTGTACTAGTAACGAAGTTTTGTTTTCCTGTGCTGTGACTGATAAAGCTATTGCCTGCTTTTAGGGGTTGTTAAAAATCGATTTTCAGTTGTTTGGTAATTCCAACTCGCCGCGGCGTAGCGCTTGACGGATGATAGCGACTAGAAAAAAGTGAGTATCATACGCTTGTGTGTTCATATATAAGTGTATCTACAAATTGGTTAAGCGATAAGAAAATGCGTCTAAAAGTATGCTCTAGCAAGCTGCTAGATATGCGTCGCCTGTTTTGTGTGCTTTGCTTTCGGACATTTTCACTATTTTCGTTCGAAATCTACGCAATTTGGCAACACTAAATTGGTTCTGCACTAAAACGCCAACTAGTGGCCACACGCTATAAATACATGCATGCTATCTACATACATTCAGTTTGCACGCCAACAAGTATGCAATCGTTTTGTTAGCAACGCTCTCCCGGCAGCAAATAGAGATACACACGCTGAGTACATAACGAGCACGAGTTTGATTATGCTGAGCAACGAGTCATATGGCGAAAATCACATGGGAAGACAATTTTTTTTTTGTATATTTAGTGAGGAAAATTTGCCTAGATACCATCCGTCCAAAAAGTACCCACAAATGCTCCTAATATTCACCTCTTTAAAGTGATCCATACGTTTTCATATCCAAAATACACTAAGTAAATGGCAGCTGTGCCTAAAATTGTGCAACATCTTCCACAAAAGTGCAATTTCAAGCCACACACTAAGGATTTTATGTTGCATACTTATTGGCACAGCCGCTATTTATGTAGCCAGAAAGTTTTGGAGGCGAAAATTTATAGTGGTATTTTTGAGGACTTCTATCGATACTCGAAACGTTTTCCATAAGCCCATTTTGGAATAGATTTCAGACTCTTCACCAAAGTCTCCTTTATCAACCAAATCATCTCAAAACGTCTTCCTCCGAATCGTCCTTGAGTTGCTGGAACAGGAAAAGTCATGCGGTATCACATCAGGGTTATATGGAGCTTTTGGAATGGCATAAACATTTTTTGTAGCAAAATAGTAGCGGTCGCTGAAGATACCGCAAGTTTTTGCTCCAAAATTCTTTCTCCTACACTCCGCAGAGACTTCCTCAGGAGTATCGATGAAGTATGAGCCTAGATGTTTAAGCTATACTCTTGCAAGAGCTGGACAAATGCTTCCCGTAATGCTCGGAAAGCAATTTGCGGTGGGATGTCACAGACGTGAACACCCCTACCTATTGCAGACTCTGAGGTTAGACTGCCCTGCGCTACTCTAGCCCTATTATGGTCTGGATATTGTAGCCGTCCCAACAGATGCTTGTCCAGACTCGACCCCGATATCCTCTATTATAAGTGTCCGGCATGGGGAGACTCCCATACGACACCAACCATTCTCTCTTCACCTGCCAGCTCAATCTCACTTAGCCAATACCCCTTTCCCTTTGGTTCGACCCGGATGAAACAGCTCCTTTCTTGGGACTACCGTTAGTTGAGAAGTGCAACGATTGATGGATAAACCGAACCAGGCGGGGCTTAGTAGTACCACTTAAACAACAACAAGAGGAAATGATTCCACCCAGTCATCGTCCATGTCGCTACGACAGTAGGGGTCCGAATTGATATTAAATCGTACCATATGGAGTCCCATTGCCTTTTGTTCTGTTCGTTGTCGTTTAGCCGGCTTTAAGAAACTGCCTTGAACGCTAACGTTTGATTACCGGCAACTTCGGTCTATTCCGTTAATCAATCATCCAGTTTGTGGAAACAGCTGCCACTTTCCTAGTCACTACTTAGAGAGGATCCAAACGGAGCCCACCTTGGTACAGACCTTTTCGTTTCTTTCGAGGTGTCCAAAGATTTCCGGGTGCTCAAGTAGACCCCAAGGCTCTTTGGCGGACTGTGACAATCTTACCCACAATGTCGAGCACCACGCTGATTACAACAGCGGCGGGTCTCTGCAGCACTATAGGGCAATGTTGCCCTACACCTAGAATACAAAAAGACGTGTAAAAACATCCTAAATGAAATGGAAAAGTCGTTACTAATATTTTAGTTTTTTTTTTTTCATAAAAGGATATGGGGAAATGGAATTCGATGAAATTCATCATATAAATCAAAAAGCAAACTTTAAATTTTTTATTAGTTATGACTTTTCGCATTTCAACGATGATATTTGTTACGTCTTTTCGCATTTCAGTTGACGATGTGCTTTTTTTCTAGCTACTTAACAATTGCTTTCTAGTATAGCTGACCTAACCTAATCTGAAAATATGCGGACTTTTTGATTCCGTGTTAAAAGAACTCTGCTTTAGTTAAAAATTCAAAGTCAAAATCCCAGAACGAGAAGTCTAGACACGAGGGTTTCTTTATTTTCATTACGATGATACCTAAGTGACACTCAGACTTCACTCAGACTTCACTCCAAACTTCCTTCACCTCCAAACTTATCAATGAGTGTTTTGACACGGTAACACTGTTCTGGGGGCCATTTTGTTGCGCGATAGGCTGAGGTGCTGGCGATGGAAAGGCCATCAATCATCTTTGTGGGACTGGAGGTATTTTTTGGTATAAGTTATCTACTCTTATTTGAGACTGAAATTCTGAGTGGGTAAACTCAAGAGCGGCGTAAGTACTCGAGAGCGGCAGAGGGCATTAGATAGGCGAGGCTTCTTTTGTACGCTTCCATAAAGGAGTTTCTACTCGTCCTCAGTAAAATGTCTTAGAATTAGGTGCAGGTCTACAAAGGCCTTTGGACGTGTCTATAATAGAACAAGTTACGAGATTTCAGACTTTCATCTGCAGCATACTAAAGGTTTTTTAAGTCGCAATGTCCTTCGTTCTGTCACACCCTAATCAATTGAACCTGCCGGGTGCTTTTAAAACCGAAGGTATCCACCACTACTCGCGCCGCTTTGCTATATTCAAAGTCCACTTTTAAGCGCATTACCTCGTACACGCGCTCTCAGCTTGTAGTGGTGGAAATGCCTCCGGTTTAACATAAAAGGCTGATGTGAAAATAATCTTTTCGACTTATCCGTCCGCTTTTGCCTCTTCATTTTCCTTTGCGCTGGCACTCAAGTAGGTGCTTCTCTCTACTCGTTAATGTCTTAGCAAATGCTCTTAATTCGTCGTTTTACCTCTTAGCTGTAAGAGGAAAACAGACTGTTGCATATTTTTAGTTGCCGCAAACTGAGGAAGGAATACTGGTAAATGCTGGCGCTTTGTTGCCCCTTCGACTAAATGTTATATCACTCAACACGCGCACGAGCAACAGCAGCACTCAATACTCAACGTACTCACTCGCTCACGTGCTGATGCACTCACACACACGTACAGGTGCCGGAACTATGCTCCGAACTCATTGTCAGCTGCAGTGTCCTCTGTCGTCTGTTATGTTGAAGAGCAATCGTTTAACTAGGTTTTGTTTTTTCTTATTGCCTAGCATACCTTTAGGCGACGTTCTCATCTTGTGCTGCTGGTCGGCTCAACGTACTTGTTTGCGCGTCTACGGCTATGCAGGAAATATACGCTAGGGTGCGCGTATATTAGGATTATTGCGCGTCTAATACTATGCTTTCTGATACACATGAGGGCGGACTGACTCGATAGGGATATACCATATTCATAGCGTGTAGGCAGGAAGTAGGCGTAGCGCGTGCTTTTTGGCGTTTCCTTGATATACCGTACATTCGTTTCGCCTGCTTCTTCCGCGGCTAGCAATTCAGCGTATACTTTTTGGCGCTTATGGTCGCTTGTTATGCGTAGACACGCGTCAAAGGCGGTGCCCCGGCTTTGCTGCAAAGTCCTTTCAAGGCATTTTAAGTCACTTTGTGCGTCTTTAAAGCATGTGTGACAGCAGTGTATATGTGTGTGTGTGTGTGTGCTGTGTGCAGTTAAGCGTCCTTAAAGGCAGTGGATTTTGTTTTGTAGCCGCATGACATTTCAGCACATCCTTTTACTTTTTGCTGTTTTTTTTTGTGTAAAATATCATTCACATTTGGTCTGGTGTGTTTGCTGGTGATAAGCGCCGACTGCTTTCCTGTCCTACTAAAAGATTGCATTTAGCGGATATTAGATTTAAGGAGTAGTCTTTCCTTTCGCTTTGTTTTTCATATGATTTCCTTTTAGTAATGCTTATGGGCCATTTTAATATTTTTGATGCTCTCAAGGCTATCATTTGTTCGCATTTTATTGCCCAGCTATTGCCATTTTTGTCTTTTTATGTGTCACGCAAGGGTATAATACGTTTTTATTTGAGCTTGAAATTTATTGACGAAATCAATGGTTGATCTTAGAGATGTTTAACGTTACGAGCGTGTGCATATATTACGACAAAGTTTGCGCCACATAATTGATTTCCTTTGGCTAGTATCAGCCGCAGAGTGTTAGTTGAGCAAACCATTTCTACTTTTCCTTTAAAATCGTTGGTGCGAGTTAATGCTACAAACAAAAGAAAAACACAATCAGAGTTTTGCAAAAAAAAATCGCATAAAATTCGTCAAAGGAATTGTCGTGTGTGTATTGAGTCATTTAATACAAATCTAAAATGTGATGAAAAATGTGGAAACCCAAATATGCTAGTCCTTTGGTCTTT